TCGCACGTGCGCGCGCGCCGCTCCGTCTCGCTCGCTCTCCCGTCTCTTGCGCGCGCGCGCGCGCGCGCGGGACCGTCGCGCGCTCTTCGTGTCACTCGCGCGCGTACGTTCGCTCGCTCGCTCGCTCGCTCGTTCGTACGCGTACGGTACGTAGTGTACGTACACTCGCCCGCCCGCCCGTCCGTCCGTCGGCTGGCGCGCGCGCGCGCGCGTTAACGGAATTCGCGATCGAGCACGCAGGGACCACCGACTAATGTTTAAATGGACGCATCGTCCATTATCACCCAAGTGTCGCGGGATGACGAGTTAGGCGCGTTCAACAGCGAGAAAGGTGCGTATCGCGTAAATAGATCCCGCGCCGTCCCGTCCTCCCTCGCTCTCCCCCCCCCTGCCCGCCATCCCGCGTCCGCGCTCCGTACACTGTGCTCCCCGCCAGATGCTGCCGAGTGCCGGGATTTCGTTCCCCCTGCACCTGTTACGGCATCCCGCACCCGCGGTTTCTCTCCTCGACCTCCTCCGTCCTATCGTTACCTAACTTTGTCCTCCGTCCTCGTCTCCTGTCCCTTCCGCGGGCAACTTCTCGCGTGTCTTGTTCCTGCCGTCCCTCGCCCCCCTAGTATACTGAGAAAGTATGTCTTCATGGTGATTGTACGTGTATGTGTATTGAAAGAGAGACCATAAATACATACATATCTTTAACAAGTTTGTATCTGTAAAAATGTAGCATTGTCACTTCTAAAACTGTAACTCGCAACGTCGTTCATTGACTTTCGACTCAGTATACATTCCATACGTACAACAAAATACAGCAGCATCTGGTCCAAATCTGTTCTACGTAACTCGAGGAAATATAATTTGTATTGCAGAGACCTAAATTTTTTTCAAATCCAATTTTTGAAATATGCACGCGACATTGCGTGTGATTACATAATACGTGGTTGTTGCTTTCTGTGTATTGCAGCCCAGTTACCTCGAGAAAATGAAGCAGCCAACAATACTTCGTCGAGTGGCAAGAAGCCGAGGGGACGCGGGCTCTTGCGCTCCCTGCTCTGCTGCTTTGGAAGAGGCCGCGGTGGTAGTTCAAAGAGCTCCAAGGCGAGTTCCCTACAGGGTGAAGGTCGTGGCTCGCCACCACCTGGCACCGGATCCCCCAGGTTTCTCCTACCACCGGTTAGGCACCAAGACATGCACAAAAAGTGCATGGTAATCGATTTGGACGAGACTCTGGTGCATAGTTCTTTCAAACCGATCAACAATGCGGACTTTGTTGTTCCTGTAGAGATTGATGGAACGGTACATCAAGTGTACGTCTTAAAGAGGCCTTATGTGGACGAGTTTTTGCAGAGAATGGGTGAATTATATGAATGTGTATTGTTCACTGCAAGTTTGGCTAAGGTAAGTTTATTTTTTAAAAAGTAAAAAAGTCATTATCTTGTTCTTTTGATAAATACAAGATAAACAAGTCTTACAATTAGTTAAATCATTAAATATCAGTATAATTCTTGCAATAATTGACTGTCTGTGTAATGTTTTATTATCAAATTATATAAGATTTAGTTTGCCATAAATTTGTTAACCAATGAAAGATAGATGCAATATATTTAAAATATTCTATGTATAATACATATAAATTATATTATTCATGTTTATCTATGTTATATATTTCACACAAATTATCTTGTCACACGAAGAATTAATTCTATCCTTAAAGAGATAGTTAATGATTAGAAAGTAATTTCTGCTATACAAATTTTGATAATAGCATTTGCCAAGACAAAACGTACATAAAATTAATTTATAAAAGACTTTAAATAAAAACTTCCACCACGTATTTACGTAACATTTGTGATATTTTGCAGTATGCAGACCCGGTAGCGGATTTATTAGATCGATGGGGTGTATTCAGAGCAAGGTTATTCAGAGAATCTTGTGTGTTCCACAGAGGGAACTATGTTAAAGATTTGAACAAATTAGGTCGGGATTTGCAGCAGATCATTATTGTAGATAATAGTCCTGCCAGTTACATTTTCCATCCAGATAATGCGGTAAGATATAATGATATGTAAAAATATTTTTATGTTAAATAAACGTGATATGTATCATCTTTTATCTTGGAGGCAGCATATTTCGAACACGTAATAATAGAGATATATATTTTTGCAGGTTCCAGTGGCATCTTGGTTCGATGACATGACGGACTCCGAGCTACTGGATCTAATCCCCTTCTTCGAAAAACTCAGCAACGTGGAGAACATCTACACGGTGCTGTGTAATAGCAATCATCCTTACAATCAGATACCTACGCATGCGGTGCAGAGCAATCAGAGCCTGCCGACTTCAATTTCAATGGCTGCTTCCTAGCCCCACCTGAATCCTGGCAACGCAGCCAGTCTTGTCGCTCAATGCACCTTCCGGAGGATTCTGAGGGGACTGCTCCACGTAACCCATTCGCTATATAGCGAAGAACCTCGAAGTGCTTCTCCACGTTGATCTTTGGAAAAACCGCTCCGATCAGCGGAGCCAAATGTCTTATATCTTGAAAGCGCGTCACTTAAGTCGACACACAGTCATAGCTGCTAATATCCTTCTTCCTGGTGAGCAACGCAACGAAGACTGATTAGATTCGATTACAGAGGAGACATCAATGCTCCGATTACGTTTGTGAATGCTCCTGACCCAACTTATAGAACACGTTGAAAAAAGGAGGGTAACAGTAGCAGGTAGAATATGAAATATATATTTTGCTTGTTAAAAAATTCAAGATTAAAATTTTATTTTAATTGTTATTTTAATTATTTAAAGAAATATTGTAAGAAGATTTAAGATATTTTAGAATTTAGTATTGAATTACAGCTTTTAAAATTTGTGGATACAAAGATCAAGATAGGTATCTTAAGAATCATAGATAATATTTTTTATAAGAACGTATTGTCAACAGTAGAATACTACTCGCTTTACACTGCCGAGGAGTAGGAAGAACATTTTTCTTCGTATTTTATTAGAGATAAATTTTCATATCTACATTTATAAAGAATGTCGTAAATTGCTTAAATCATAAACAAATATGATAAAAAATATTTTTAAACCCTTTTATTCTACAGAAATCGGTATCTTAGCAAGATTTATTGTAAAATCTACACATCCTTGAAATTATAACTGTCTAATTGCCGTTATTAAATATGTTACCGACATCTGTAAAGCATTCAACAAGATCAGATCACGGCTTTGGACAAATTTTTGTGCAAATTAAGCATTTCATCAATGTTGCATTTGAGTATTAAGTATTTCCTGCTGCTGATACACACCTTTTATAGAACGCTCTGTACGTGGCATTTAGAACGGTGACATTGAAATTTTACGGGGTACGTACTACTGTTTTTTTATCATCTCTGATAAGTAACCGAGAATAATAATAATATTAACAAAAGTGTCTAATGCCTGTAGAGATCGGGGCTTTTTTTGTTAGCCCTTGATTTGTTTTTATCTTTGTTTTGTTGCTAGTGTTAAGCTCCTTGATTATGTACAGATGGCTAACTTTCCTTTGCCTTAGGATGGTGATCACGTCGCGTAGCCTTATCCTGTCGAATGCTTGTTTTAGGTCCACGAAGCACACAAACATTGGCTTGTTGAACTCCACGGACTTTTCGATGAGTTGTCGCAGTATGAATATTGCGTCCAGTGTCGATCTGTTCGGCCTGAATCCTTGTTGTTCTTCGCAGATGGGTACTTTATCCGTGATTTTTTTCGTTAAAATTTTTGTGAGAAGTTTTGCTACGGAGCTTAATAGCGTTATGCCTCTGTAATTTACGGGATCACACTTCATGCCCTTTTTGAATACAGGCACCGTAATGCTGGTTTTCCATTCCTTTGGTTTCCGGCCTGTGTCCTCGATGACCCGGAACAGATGCGTTATCTGGGTCATTAGCTCGTGGCCGCCGTACTTAATCATTTCATTGGTGATGTTGTCAATGCCTGGTGATTTGCGATTCTTCAGCTTGCTTATAGCTGCTTGTATTTCTTCTGATGTGGTCCTATCAGAGGCAATGTTATCCTCCGTATCATCCATAATTTCCTCTGGCTCCTCTCCGGTACCGTCTTGCTGGTAAAGATTTTCAAAGTGTGATATTCAGGTTTCCGATTTGATAAAGGTTACGTTTATTTCCTCGTTAATTGGTTTTTTCCTGTTTCGCAACATATTCCATACCTTCTTCTGACCTCCGTGCGGTGTGGATAAACGAAGCTGAAGCGTGGACAACCACATTTAGCGCTAATTGCGCAACGCGAATACGTGCCAGTGGTTTCGAAGTCTATATTCGCATTCGGCGCCGCTGAATCGCCAATGCGACTATCCAATTTCGAGAGTTTTACCTCAATTCGGGGAGGGAGATCTATACATGTGCATGTATAATAGCAAGATTTTATTCTGGGATTATAATCAGACAGTCACATTTCGTGCCAGAGCGCCGTCGACGCGAATACAGGACCATGCTACTTTATTACGATGAAAGGCAACGCGAGCCTTCAACGGGTTAACAATAAATCACGAAAAAAAAAGAATCTTTATAACTATTATATAATACTATTATATAATAATAATACAGTTGTTTCTAATTTTACACGGCGCGCAAAAGCCGCGCGCCCGCATTTATCTCTTTTTTTATTTCGCGTTTTCCTTTTGTTAAGAAATTTTCTCTGGATCTCCGTATATAAAAAGTTTCGGCTCAACTTGGATCGGCGCGGCGCTCAAAAGAAAACACATATTTTTTTATCAATACGTTTATCAATAATATCTATGATAATGATTATTATGATTTAGAAGATTATGATAATAATTATTATGATTTAAAAGATTATGATAATTAATATGCCTTTCTTTTCTCGTTTGCGAACTCCTTCACTTTCTGTGCGAACCACGGTCTGTTGTTACTCCTGCTTGTATTGATTGTTCTCATTCCTATGGCTTCCTTAGCACTGTTTATTATGTTTTCTTTTAATTTCCTCCATGCTTCCTCGGTTGTATCGGTTTCTGTGATAGGGTTGACCGCGATTTTTTCCCTCAGCCTATTCTGGTATAGGATTTTCGTGCTGTCGTTGTTAAATGACTCATTGTAAGTGAACAAAGTTTGCAGTGTCTTGGTTCAAATAGAAAAGCTACACGGCAACAATAGCATGGCCCATCAAACGACTCGAAGCGGTCTCTCTTCTTTTCTTGCTTCATACTTTCTCTCTTTCCTATAACTTTAAATTCTTCCAGTACACAATCACCATCGGGAATCATTCTAATTATTGTTCTCTTTTTTTATTTTTTTTTTTATTTTTTGCGATCGGTCAACTTTTCTGCAAGCAGTTTCTGCTTGCCAGATGTATTTTCGCTCTGCCCATGCGGACAGGATCGATATAGTTCATCGTTTTTTACGCTTTGCAAAATGGAAGAACACTCGCGCTGAGAATCCGACGTCACGACGGCCGGCACCATGTCCAACGTGACGAATTTGAAGTTTTTGTATATTAGTGTCTTCTATCTTGGGTTTTAACTTTCTTTCTTCTTGGAATTTTTATATTCCAAACTGCACCCCCCGCACGAGTGGGGCTCGTGCGGAGAAACTGGACTATCTTTCGGATGTTAGGAGAAATTAAATTTAAAATTTGGTCGTCAAGCTTGGGGAGCTTGGGAGTTTTGGATCAATAATACTGCATATGTGGTGCTCTTTCTCGTTCTTTTTCTTGTATCAAATTTTCAAAAATTTTTTAAACCATGCATTATATTTACTAATGCGTAATTTGCAAACAATCACAGCTGCTTGATCGAACATAATGAATGTACAAAGTGCATTGTACTACCATAATCAATTCAAATTGTTCGTGCTTTTACTTTTGTTAATATTATTATTATTATTATATTAATATAATTATTATTGTAAGTATCGACGCTGATGTCATCATTCAAGTGTAAAAGAAGCTAAATGTTTTTATCCTGCGTATCTTGCTGCTGAAAAGTCGCGCTCGGACTGACTAATATAGGAAATATTTCCCGAAATCACAATTCTGATTGAAAATAAGTACATTTTTCAAAATCTTGCGTTGAAATGACGACATTATCATCGATATATCCAATGAGTATATTGCTTATCAATATCAGCTTGTAACAACTTGGCTGCGTCTGTTTTATTTTTTCTTCCTTCGTTTGAATTTTGGAATGTCTTATTAATTTCTATCGATATAACGATAGTTCGGAGAAATCCGGTCGTTCGGATTATCGTTTTTACTTAAAATAATAAAAGGAAGAGATTTAATGAAGAGATTTTTGATGTGGCTTCCAATTCTTCCATCCTTCTGTACTTATTAGTAAGTGTGCCGATGTTTCTTGTAAACGTTATTATGCGCGAACGTATATCGTAATATTCTCTTTGTAATAACGCCCATCGAAACGACTCCGTTGTGTACGACCGTCATACATCTGTTCCGGGACAAATCTGTGCACGATCCAAGGATCCGAGAATCCATAGGTCTTTGTGAGTGTACATATTTAAATCAAATATGTTATACATATATATATGTTTAAAAAACGGCAGGAGCAGAAAATGCGCGCGCGCGCGCGCGCGCGTGTGTGTGTGTGTGTGTGTGTGTTTGATGCATGTACGTTTGTATGTATCGTATAGAGTTCCTATAATAAGAGTTAGGATACCGTTATAGCTTTGTCTCACTCCCACTAACTTCTTGGCTGAAGCATATGGCGACCATGATAGCTTTGTCTTACTCCCACTTACAGCCTGTCTCACTCTCACTAACTTGGCTGAAACATATGGCAGGACCAATAAAAAATCGTCACCACATTGGCTTAACTCTTATTATATAGGAACTCTAGTATCGTATGTATGTGGCATATGTATAAAAAGAAAAAAAATAATAATAGCGTTCGAGGCTTTTGCCGAGCGACGGCCGCCGCCGCACCGTTGGACTGCGACCTTTGTATCGGACGATTAGAACGTAGAACTAGTGGTCATGTTCAGCGATTATCCGCGGATACGCGCGTGCGAATCCAGGGTTGCTTGCAAAAAAAGAAAAAAAAAGAATTGTTACTCGCACCGCACATCTAGCGCTAAATGCGACCGGTCCACGATCCATCTTCGCGTCGATTATGATCTTTGTACGCGTCAATTAAAGCAATTTACCTGTTTAAGTTTCGTGACTTAGGAGATTTATCAGAGACAATCTTACAAAGCATGTGCAATCATGAAAGAAGACTTAAAATAGCGTCGAAACCTTGAAGAAGGCCCTTATTATCTTCATTTTTCCCCTCCGCTATAAAATACGCAAAAAAAAAAACGAGTTTGAGGAAACCATACGCTCAGCTTAATTGATGTTTGGCATTAGTTAACTTGGCGAGTGACAAATATATAAAACGATCGATTTAATATTAATGTTTGGAATATTTTTTTATGACTACAAAAATGTCTCGAACAAGTGAAAAGGAAACTAACATCGCGTCAATGAGTTTCTTCAAACTATGTTCTACCGAGAAACTTTATCTCCTACAATAGTATTCCAGATATAATAAAATAGGTCACTCTTTGTATCATTCAATCTGGCGTGAAGCCTCTTATCTCCGATCTTATAAATTTTGATTTTATCTTTTAAATCTGTTGCCTCAGATTGTCATGATTTTATATGCTTTTATAAGAGCATAGGTCACCACGGGGGAATCTCTGTAGATTCTCTTGCCTCTTTGACGTCATCGAACTATATATATAGCTGAATCGATTTATTATACCGCTTTAAAGTTCAGGATCAATTGACCACATTTAGCGCTAAACCACACTGTGGCTAAACGCAGCGTTAACCTTAGAATACTAATCATACTTTTAAGCCATTAACACTAATCATACGTTAAATTTACGTATGTTGAGATTTTTCTTTAAAAAAAATACCAAGATGAGAGAAATAAAAGTTTTATTAGAAATGGACCATATGCTATTTTAATGGGTAAGAAAAAACAAAAAGGAAAGAAAAGAAAAGCTTATAAATTTAAATGCTATTTTTTTATTACGTATTATTAGTATTCTAGGATTAAATGGAAGTGTGAGTGCAAGAATTCCCCTTCGACGGATAGTCGATACGAGACTATTTGCGGGAATAAATTATACTTGGCATAAACGAGACATTTGAAGGTAACTCGACGAGAAAAAGAAAAGTAAAACTCGCGGAAAGTGATTACTTTTTAATATTTTTTTATGACCTTGAACGGGTTAAAAAGATTTTAACATGAGTGAGAGTAGAGAACAAGGAGCACGTGTGAATATAAAATTAATGCCTTGATTTGTAAATAAAACTTCATTACTTCCATTAAATGCCGTTTTTATTGCGCATTCTTTTCTATTGCTGAGCACATTATTCTTATCGTTCATCCTATATTTTGTTATTAATCTCTTTGAGAGGGTTCTCAAATCTGAGAGATTAAAAATATATTACAATTAAATAAAGTACACAATTAAAAATCCGTGAAATGTGATTAAATATATATATACGATTGTTATTACATATGTTTATATAATAAAAACTTTATCATCATTGTAGATATCAGAACTTATGGAGTAAATATATCGGCAGTAATTCAGATAAATTTATGAACGAACATATATATTGTAAAATTTAATCAAACATAATTGCTTGTCACGTCATGCGATATAAGATTATGATATAAAATGTAAATTAATGTTGTGGTTTATATATATACATAATGTTATGGAACTATTGCATTCTTCCCCAATCATAGATGCCAAATTGAAAAATATATTTCAAACTGAAGAGACATCAATGGGGGGATGGCGATTTGACAAGCTTAGCGCAGAGAACAGCACCGAAATTGAAGACGTGTCATAATGTTTATCTCCAAGGTGACATTTATTTAAAGGCAATGGGCATAAATAATGTCTCTAATGGTCGAAATAATGGCATGTTTCCTCTCAGAATGTTGAAAAAAATTATCCTCCATAATAATCTTGCCGGCTTCTCGAATTTCTTGTGTACATTCTTCTGGAAGTAGCAATTCCTGAAAACAGCTGACGAAGCGACATATTCCTCCTTTGGAAAGCAACGTTCTCGAGAGGCGTGAGCGAGAAGGTTGCAATTAATAAGAAATCATCAGAGATCATATTCTTTTATTGTAATTGAAAGTAACCGGACTTAATTTTACTTGAAGTCTAGAAGTGGCGAAAATGCCGAGAATCGGGATTGTCCCTCAAAATTTCAGCACTTGAAGTGAAATAAGTATACATAATATTAGACATTAGATAGAAAAAGTAAAAAGATGAGAAACATGTATGTACAAAAAAAAAACAAGCCTAATATAATTCGATAAAGTCGGATAAGTCTACGGACGAATTGAAATAAGTGCGCGAATTCAAATATGACAAATTTCAGGGTGAAGACGACCCCAACTCCGATTAACTGAATTGATGTTTGAACGACAAACTTCAGAGTGAAGATTACCCTGACTAAATTCCGATTAACTAATCGAGGTCAGTCGATTTCAGTCGATTAACTTAATTGGAATTTAGTCAAGAGAATCTTACGTTGATCGCAACGCCGCGCCGTGCAGCAAAAGCGCCAAACTGAACTATAAATAGCGGCCGAGCGCCATCTAGCGTTGCCTCGCGCAACTAATCAACAGTTCAGTTTGGCGCTTTTGCCGCTGCACGGCGCGGCGTTGCGATCGACGTAAGATTCTCTTGACTAAATTCCGATTAAGTTAATCGACTGAAATCGAGTGATTAACCACATCGAGCCGTATTTGTGATATTTTACCAATGTAGAATACCACAAATATATAAATTTCTTGTTATTGGACACCTGAAAACCTGTTGGTTGAATTAAACTGAGAGAACGACCTCGATTAAGCTGCAATTTAGTTAATCGGAATTTAGTCAGGGTAATCTTCACTCTGAAGTTTGCCGTTCAAACATCAATTCAGTTAATCGGAGTTGGGGTCGTCTTCACCCTGAAGTTTGTCATTTGAGTTCGCGCACTTATTTCAATTCGTTCGTAGACTTATCCGACTTTATCGAATTATATTAGGCTTGTTTTTTTTTGTATGTACATACATGTTTCTCATCTTTTCACTTTTTCTATCTAATGTCTAATATTATGTAAACTTATTTCACTTCAAGTGCTGAAATTTTGAGGGACAATCCCGATTCTCGGCATTTTCGCCACTTCTAGACTTCAAGTAAAAGTCCGGTTACTTTCGATTACAATAAAAGTGTAAAAGTTTCGCAGATGCAAATCGTATTGGGCTATACAAGAACATATCATTTATTTCAATTGTTTATTTATTTATATACACAATACGCATTTGTTCTCAATTTCATATCAATTAATATTCTCGCTTACATATTGTGTAATTATATGTACAATAAGTTGTAATATCTTATCATTTGTTTACAACAAACATTTGTGATAGCTTTACGTGTGAGACATGTGATCGATAGTGTAGTTTATGGATTCTTATGCAAAAAGTATCGATAAATTTCGCTGTTTACTTTTATTGACATCTCATGTGGCATATCCTTATAATACCAAATAAAACGCTTAAATACATGAAAAGCAAGTCAATTTTTGTTACAATTTAGATTAAATTTTTAAGGCTGGTTCCAAATATTACATGTTACATTACTGTTTCTGTATTATAATATCGCTATCAGTGTACAATTTTTATAATTGTATATTAAAACTTCAACATTGCACGTCTCAAAATCAGCGTTTTGTGATCGTCAGTTTTTCAGCGCTTCAAATATATATTATTATTTTTATAATCTTAACGTTGCAGGTAATAACAAATTTAAATACATGAAAAAATAAATTAGTAAGTAAAACCGAAAACCCTTAATAACTAGGACTCGAATGTTGATAAATAAACCTGAATAGCAGCTAGCAATATAATGTAATTACAAATTTAATTAAAAAATGTGATATATTTTGATCGAACACAATGAATTCAATTTTAATGATTCTTTAGAGCCGCTCGATATCATCAAAATTTGAAGATATCGAGATATATATACTCTTATATATATAATCTTGATGTGACAAAAATAATAATTAAAAATATAATTTATACAGTGGTAGAAAATGGAAACATACATTTAGATAGAAAGAAAGAATAGAAAAAACGCGAAAAGCTTGATACAATCAAACTTTTTAAGTGAAAAATCTAAATTGTAGCAGCTTCCATAGCCCGATGAAAAAAGGGCATGAAAGACGTGCTGTAAACCAGTGCTATACTTGTATTCGCGACTGATATTTAGATTTAGACGTAATATCAACAATCAATAGACGTTTCATCAACATCCGAATCACAAAAAGAACATTTAGTAGAATTAAGCAATTATGTCAAGTACTTGTAATTGACGAAAGAGTAGCTTCGGCAGAATATAGATTACAATGCGACAAATAATTAAATATACTTTTTCTCGACACTAAGATAGATAAGGCACTATCTATATAGCGCAATAAGCGCAAATGAGTATTGATTATTTTTGAAAGATTCACACAGAAGAGCTGCGTTTACGCTGGTGGAATTCTTTTGGGATTCAGATCGTACATACGTCGCATCCGCTTTTTTAGCTCTTGCGGAAATTTGTCGTAGCATTTCTTGCACGCGGGCTTTAGATCAAATTCGAAGAACTTCGTCTTCTGATTCATCTTTTGGTCGCAAAACGCGCACGCGAAGTGATGGACGCACCACGCCTTGTTCAACGCAGTAAAAACTAGAAAATACAAGCATTAGATTAAAAATGTTAGCGCTCGCAGAAAAGATTCGTATAATTTTTTGCTTCTGATATTGTCAGTTCAAAGTAATTGCAGTCAAAGGTAGTAGTAGTTCTTAAGAACCGCAATATGAGAAACATAAATAGCTAGAGAAGGAAACGTTCAATTTAAGAATTCAAAGAGAATGAGGAAAATAAGAATTCGAAAAAACAAGACTTCAAAAAACGGATTGTCTGGGTTGACTTGTAATATTTTCAATATATCTGATACGTACCATCTCCAGAGATAACTTGATTACAGACGAAGCAGAGATTCCCGAACAACTGATGATAATGAGTCTCGCAATAAGCGAGACCTTTCTTCTCGTAATGACGATGACCTAAGAAAGGCTTTTCGCATTTAGCACATACGAAATGCTCTACGTGCCAATGTTTGCCGAGCGCCGTTACCACGCGTTCCTCGATGGGACGCCGGCAAGCGCCGCAAATCGGGATTCCCATTTTATCGTGACATCGTAAGCAATACAGCTCGTTCTATGTAACATAAAATTTGTTATTAAGACGATTTAGATCGGTCTTTGTACATGCAGTTATGAATTTGAAAGTGGAAGATAAATATATTATTTTGTATCGTCTAAAATGTACTGTTAAAATTACGTTTAACGTATTAAACGTTTTACGTTTAATACATTTTTACGTTTTAAACATTTTACGTTTAATACGTTATATTTTGTTCACTATGATGAATGTATTTATATTTTTATTTAGATATAATTTTTTATAAACACTGAGACTTTAAATAATCATGACCTACACCTGATTCATATATTGTAAAAAGTTAGGGAGTTCTTACCATTTCATTGGCAGCGTAGCCAGGTCGAGATCGGACTTCTCTGGCTTCGGAATTGAGTTCTACTCCACAAGTTGTGCAATTGAAATGATATGGATGATAAAGTTCACCGCGGAATCGTAAAGGTTTGTCATCGATTACTCCGCTAGAAATTACGAAAAACGATATCAATTAAAACTTTGAGACAAATATGTATTTTTCCATTACACTATATTATAGTTTCTTTGATTCTCTAAACATTTTAGACTAATTTTTAGAAATATCTTTGCCAAGAAACTACAAGTGGTAGTGAGAAAAGAATATAGTAAATAGAAATCTAAAGTATCAAAGATATGTTATTTTATGCAATAATAAGGACATACTGGCATTGATGACATATATGTTTTCCAAGCACCCCAGCTTTCACATTGGCGTTGCACGTGTGGCATAGAGCTCTGCCTTGACACTTGATGAATCCCGCATCCGCCAATTCACCATTACACTCTTCGCAGCGGAAGCATTGTGGGTGCCAATTCGAGTTCATCGCTTTAATCACGCGGCCGATGACAAACTCACCTGTCGCAAAGATAATAATGTTGATTAAATACAGTAAAACGTTACCTCACATTTGACTGTCCAAGAATTAACGGTAATGCTCAAGTAATTAACAGAATTTGTCCAACTTACCACACTTGCCGCAGCACGGTGCAAATAGAACGTGAAAGTCATGCTCGCAATACTTGTATCCTTCAAATTCGTAGAAGATTCCATCTGGAAATGGCCGAAAACATTGCGCGCACCTGTAAACATTTATTAGATATTAACCCACGTGTCTAAAGAATTCATAATGCAATTTTTAGAGCTATTTTCGTTTTACGAAAAATAGCAAAGAAACGCTTGGAGAATACATGTTGAAAAAGAAAACTTCTTTAAGTATTGCACAATTTTGAGAATTGACTCCGAAAGAAAGATGGTACGCATGGTACATTTATCCATTCATTACAGCTATTTACTTTTGAATAAAACTTCCCAATTGTTGTCCTGTATATACTTACACAAAACACTGAGGATGCCACAATTCGCCGTTTGAGTTAACAATCTTCTCATGCGCAACGAAGCCTTCTCTGCATCGGGAGCAAAACATATGATCCAACGACATATCTGTAACCCTGTACATAATACATAAATATAAATATCAAACGTTTACAGTCAATTTAATCATTAAATAATAGAAGCTTGTTGTAAATATATCGTAATATTAAATCCACAATCTAAACTGTCACTCCGTTAATTAATGGACAATTATGTTTATACATTATCACTGTTATATGTATAGAATTATGTCTTATATGTTCACGCAAAGAAAATGAACATTTTTCTCAGGACATAATGCTTACCCTGGCATATTTTAACGGAAGAGGACGGTTTACGCTTTGACGTTGACAAATACTCCTGGCTATCTTTTTCTTCTACTCGCTGGCACTTAATCTGCCTTACACTGTGACTTCTGTTACTGGAACAATATTAAAAGTGAGTTGAAACAAATAATAACGAGTAATAAATATATTAAGTGCAAATTTAATACACGTTGTGTCAATAATACTCCAATATTCTCATTAACGCTACATCAATCACTCAGTCATCTTCTTGCAATTACGTTTTATTTTTTTCGGATATTGTTTTCTCCTTACACATATTACCTCTTTTTATCAGTCATCTGCTATCTATTGACTTCTAACGTGTATTCAATTATTGAGCATTTATTTCAATCTGATAAAAGATGTAATTTTGGAGCAACAACTGTACTCCTGAAATATCAATCGCCATCTGACTTTATAATTTTTGCCCAATGAACCAACCGTCAGTCAAGAATAGAAAATTCGCGGTAACGTAAATATTTACCGAATTAAATAAAGCGGAGAGTAACGGGATTAAAAACACTACCTGTGCGATCGTCTTGTTAGCTGACACGTCTGTATTCCTGTCAGATTTTAATCAGAGACAGCCAATCCGATCTCAGCGAATGTAGCATGACCTTTTATGAGAACGAACGTGGACCCCGACGGATCCTACGGTGGCAACGGCTCGTCCTACGCCACACCCTTGGCACCCGCGGTAAGCGCGATGGCAACGACGATGATGTCAGCGCGCAAATTCGGAATCGTCAAGGCGGTTTTCCAGTCGTCGAAACTGATGACTTAAGCAAGACCTGGCCACGAGACAACCATCAGCCAATCGTGTTATCTAATATCCATTTCTGCAAATGTAGGTTAACTTTAATCTCGATTTGACTTAGTTTTTATTTTTATTTTTTTCTAATTTTGAGAGCTATGTCCACTTCTGCCTATGTTAGGTTAATTAATTTTAATCTCGGTTCAACTTACCTTTTATTTTTCTCTAATTCTCGTGTCCATTTTTCCACCAATGTATAGATCAGCTTTATTAGTTTCTAATTCTGAAGAACTAGAAAAAGATAAGAAAGTAATTAAACTGTAATTATAAGGTTAATTTGCATCGATAGAACTGGACAAATGGCTTCTGTCGCTCCCTGTTCGCAAAATGAGTCAATCGACGCTTCGCTCTTACGGAAAAGCGGCAAGTCGATTGGTCACGTCGCTTCCCGTCACGTTGTGACCATCAGCTGATGTCCAATTTTCGTAAACACACTCTCGGCAGCGTCGTTGACAACCGGGTGTCCAACGAGCGTGATCTGGAACATTTTTCTTAATTATACGCAAATCAGAAGGCATAATCAAAAAAGGAAGGAAAGTCCGGAAAGGTTTGTTCCATCGGAGAAAATGTTCAGCACCAAATCCTTCGACGTTGTGAGCTTCAATTCGGAATTATCTCCCGCGAGGTGAGTCCGCTTATTATCATTCGAACTATCGTTGCAAAATGTATATGTATTATATATATACATAAATAATACTTGAATTTAATTGATAACGCGATCACATCGTTCTCTCCTAGATTGGAGACGTCTGCGAACGTTCAAACGACGGAGATAGTCTACGCCGCTGAAGACACACAGACCAGAGAGACGAGGAGTGTTGGGGTGTGTTACAGAGATTTTATTTGAATTCTGAAGTTTACGGAAGATTTTATTTATTACCCTCGGCAAGCCGGAGTAATTTCTTCTTGAAAAACAACGTAGAACTACGTCAACTGTCACTGATGATGAACCCGGCGCTACAGCCCGGTGTGGGCCTTGACCTTCCTTGATCACGTCAATCATCATCAGTGACAGTTGACGTAGTTCTACGTGTTGCTTGCGGCACAGTTGTACGCTCGGCAAGCCGGAGTAAATTCTTCTTGAAAAACGTGTGAATCACAAAACGTCGATAAATGCTGTAACAGCTTTCTCGTATAGCCTGCATTTGGTTCTTATAAGCGTCCAAAATCAATACTGTTCTACCTTAAATAACTGTCTTAGTTTTTTTTCGTTATTTTAGTTTAATACATTAATTTTTTTATAACTCCAGATCCAGACGGTGAACGGACAGAAAACAGACGCGCAGGTAGATTATGACAGACTGGCAGAGTTTATGAAAAAAGTTACGCCAGGGATCCTGCAAGCTCTTGACGAGGCTTACGCCACTAGCGCTTTCGACGACTACAATCCGAATGTGACCGAGGTCTCGTCTGCCAATGTAGAGTTAATAAAGAAAATAAGTACATCAGAAGAGGCGGACACGTCTCCTCACGAGAGGGTACGTCCTTTTCAATAAAACTAAAATAACTGTCTTATACGAGATTAAATGGCTGATGTCACGAGTCGAATGTTTTGCAGATTAAAATAGGCGACTTGTCGTGGAGCACCGTTGGCGGGACATTAGCGGTAGGCCTCGGTCATATTCGTCACGAAACGTGGTGCGATCATCTTTCCGCAGTCCAGTTGTACAATCTCACGACGGAGGACAACGTCGCGGACGCCCCTACCAAGACGTTAGAGACGGATGGATGTGTCACAACGCTGTGCTACCACCCGACGGAACCCTCCATCCTCGCGGCTGGATTGTTCAACTGTAAACTTCTTCTAATTAACAGCAACAATTACGAAATTCACATCTCGTTATACCTGACAAATGCGTTTGATTTCTCCAGGGGACGTATTGATCTGGAATCTTAGAAACGACGATTCCGTTGTGCCCACGCACGTGTGCACGCACGGCGAGCGCGTAACTCAAGTGTGCTGGCGACCAAGATCCGTGCACGACGCGGACCTGTTACTGAGCTCCAGCTCAGACGGATACATACTGATCCACAGATTGACGGCTAACTTTACGACCGTTCAACCGCACAAGCGGTACGTACTGCTAGCTGCCTGACTGTTATAATCCTGTTTACGGAATCTCTGCCGCACTGCAGATTCAAGATAATCAAGGAATACAATCCGGTGGAAAAGACCAGGCCGCGTAGCGCCGGAGGTACGCGCGAGCGAGCCGCGGAGGCAGGGCTGTGCATCACGAGCTTTGACTTTTCGTCGAGGCATCCCAGTATAATTGTCGTTGGGACGCAGTGTGGTGGAATCTATAAATGTAGCTTGGACAGCGTAACTCCCATCGAAGGTTTGCGTCTATATTTATTGTAACAAGATAATATAATAAAATTGTTCGTAGAAAACAAGAGGTTTTTATCAATTTCAGGAGACGCCACGCTTATAGATCCCGTGATCGACGAATACGAAAGGCACAGAGGTAACGTTACCTGTGTTAAGTGCTCGCCGTTACGCAATCTGTTTGTCAGCAGTGCCACGGATAATGAAATCCGTATATACAATCTTGACGAGGTAAATTTCCATATGTCACACATTTCAGCCTTTTCAATAATCACGACTCTGATCCTACGAAAACAAGGAATGTTATTTGATAATCTTTATTTACTTTAATCGAGTTTTTTGTGGATGATTGGAGTTTTTGAGCTTAAAAATAAATGGCACAGTCATACAATAAATTGTATTATGTATTTTAAAAAAATTCTAGCATATAAATTAGCTAGAATAGAATTTTTAAATTAAAATATAAAATTGGAGAAATGAGAAACTAAAGTTGCGTAGAATTTTACTTAAAATACATTTTACAATTATTTACCACGAATATTATATCTGAAGATTTAAGCGAAGCATGAATCTACTTTTTTCGCGCTTGAATATTCAATCAGTACAATATCCACGCAAGAGTGCGTGTCATTCTCGGGCAAACGTGACTTGTTCGCTTTTCTGCAAATAATAAAGCACTTGTTCGAAAGATCAGAGACAAAAGTTTTGAAACGTTTTCTAAAATATCTCGACGACAAACATGAAAAGGGGAAAGAACTGATATAACCAATTTTTTACGAAAATTTGTTTTATTACGTATCAGTTAATTTTATGTTTTTGTTATGTAACTCCCGACGTTACGTAATTGTGAATTACATTACGCAGCATGTCAGTCAGCGAACTATTTCCGTGGACAATACAGTTGTGGGATTAACGTGGATGATTGGCAATCAAGACGTATTCGCAGCTTACGGAGCGGGCGCGTGCGTGAAGTTCTACAATGTTGCGGACGGTAAACCTGTGACGTGTCCGAAAGTCGAGGTGACTGGCAAAGAAATCAGCAGCTTGTGCGTAAATTCCAAGAGGTACGTGTAAGATAATCAAATCCGGATGATTCATCACTCAAAAACTTCCTTTCTCTTTCTTGCTAATTTTAAGCACGATTGTTACAACTGGTGCTCGTTTTCTCGACGCATGTTTATTTATAAAAATAACAACAATTTTTTATCTGTAATAAATATATCTATATGTCTTGAATAGCTGTAATTTACATAGGAACGTTACAAGCTCACTGTCGAAGGTCGAACAGTCTTTCAAATGATTGCGTCGAATCATCTTCCATGCAAAACAATTGCTAAGAAAAAATATACATACATATACATAAGCGATTCATAGTTTTAACGTAAGATATTACTAGAAATTACTGGAAAAATTGTACATTTAAAAGATCAATATTTGTTTTGCTTGTTATAGAGATATACTGGCGATTGGAAGTGTTCGTGCGAAAGTCGAAATATGGAAATTTCCACGTCACTTGTTTTGAGCGTGGTTCTAATTTACGCAATTACTTGCGGCATTCGCTGAATGGATTGACACTACATATATGCTTTATGTATTGCACATACGTAACTGTTTGTAACTGGAATAAATTTTGGAACATTGAACCTTCCTGATTATTTTTCTTTATAGAGATAAGAAATGATGAGACAGTTCTTGATAAAACATGTTTAGATCAAGAGTTATTCTAAGATAAAAAATTTCCACTAAATTCAAAGTACTTCTAAAATAAAAGTTCAACATATTTTATATACATCATGTGTAAAATATATATATATATATCAGTTCCCTGCATATCACAATTTGATTAAAAAAAGAGAATTTATCTCATCATTATATTTGGACAATAGCTCTATATAATGTAATTAAATAAAAATATAAAAAAAGCATTGACCACAATGAAGTTTTAAATAAAACTTTGAAGTTTTAAATAAAACTTCATTATACGGTCTATAAACAATGCGGTATTATAAAAAACAATTTTATATTACCTCTGTGTCTCAATCAATGCGCAGCGTAGCTCTGAAAAGGGGACACAATTTAATAGGAAGAAGTATATTTATTATATTTCAGGTACGTTGAAGATTTGTCCTGAAAAGGACAGTTTGCACGCGCGCCTTGGCGCTCGTCCAGGTCCAGATGTTCCTTGCCCTTAAAAGGGCAGTTTTAAGCCTTTGTCCTGATAAGGACAGTTTCGCACGCTTGCACGTACGTTTATTGCGAACCAAGAAGACACACCAGCGTTCGTGATGCATTTGCGGGTCCCAAAAGGGACCCTGGGTAATAATGGGGAGGATTATGCGGGAGAATCTGATATAAATAGGATGCGGGATATATAAGATAGGAGGGGAAAGAAAAATAAAGGTGATTCTCTCGTGGAATATCTTGCAAATGTTGAAGACGGCCAGAGGCCGTGTTAGGATTCGGGAATCGATTCAAGGAAACTTTTTTCTCTTCTTTTTTTTTCAAGGAAAAGGATGAAATATAGGGGGAATGGGATAATTGAAAATTTCTTCTACTCCATCCAGATGATCTTCTTCGCCTCTCACGTGAACGGCAAGATGTTGATTCCGTCCCTTCTCTCGAACACGTACCGACTTCAAGAATTCTTCGGTGTCTTCCTCTCAAAGCGGCAGCACCTATTTACTGCTGAAACTCGTCAAGCGAGTCCGCAACTCATCTCCTTCTGTTTCTGGTCTCATCTCCGTCATCGGAGATCTTCCTCCGATTGCCTCCCTGCATCTTGTCTCCTTCGCTCCTACTTCTCTCTCCTTCTTCCTTTGTTTCAACAATAATATGAATATGCGCGTCTCTCTCGGGTGAGGAGCGACTCGCATAGACATCACGAAATACACGAACTCCGTCCCCGCTGTAAGTGGTTGTATATAATTGCGCTGCGCTGAAATATACTCTGGAAGTCACGGGGGACGGAAAGTTCCGGTAAAGCTCGCCCAGCTCTTCTCCTCTTGCGCAAAAGACTCCGAGCTTGGGTTTCCCCGCGACTTGATCGAGGAACCGAAACCCTTGCTCTCTCCGTTCTCCTGGTCTGCCAACTTCACCGGAATCGATTTACCGGGCACATTATTGCACGCGAAATCTTTCAACTCCTCGGTCTTTCCTCTTGCGCCTCTGCTCTCCGTCAAACTCTCTTTCTTTCTTTCTCTCTCTCGTGTTATCTCTTCTCCTCGACGCTCTCTCCTTTCACACATTCACGCACGCTCTCGTTCTCTCTCATTGGTTCCATCTGCACACAATTTTTTTGGCGCCTTTTGTATTAAAAAGACATTTTCTGGTCCGTTTCTTTTTCTTCTTGGAATTCCTGAGACCCAAGCTCCAATCACTCAGACTCAAGATACCGCTCTGCTAACGAACGGAGAGCTTTTTTTCATATATATTTGCTGCTCCGCTCTTCGCTCCGTATCTTGATGACCACTCGCACCCGAGAAACTTGCGTTTCCTTAATCCTCTTCCTCTCACGCTTCTTCTTTCCCGTACCGCTGCGCGTCTCTTCTTTTTATTCTTCATTGAACCTCTTTCCGTTTCGCTTCACAGCTCTTCGAGAAACTCATCGGCGTTATAAATGTGCAAAGCAAAGTACGATACAAATAGTTACGCCTTAACGCCCTTAGGCATGACTCTTATTCTCTCTCTCTTTTTCTTCTTCTTCTTTCTCTCGACAATAATGCCGAGCGTATTTAAGCGAATAGCTTCTGGGAAGCCTCCAAACTTCATCTCGTTCATTACATTGTCCTCCCCGAGCGTCGTGGACTTCGTCCTTGGATCGCCCTCGGTCATCCGCGTCTTGATCTCTCGACCCTCTCTCGATCTCTTTTTTGCGGAGACGAAGAAAAAGTGCTGCGACGATCCTTCGCAACGAGTTTAGCCATCCGCCCCTCGATCTTCCACTACGCCTCTTCTCTCTTCTCTCTCTCTCACCGGCTACTCTCTTTCGGAATCTTCTCGTCGGACGCGCAAACACGAGACGATTGTTTCGCGGCGAAAACAACGGGATGCGCGTCGAAAGGTGGCCGTCGCTGGTCATCCCCACGTGGTCCCTCCTTTCTTCCTCGTCTCTCGCGCGATCATCACCGCGACGTCAACGTACTCGCATCCTCGCCTCCTCGTCCTTCTTCTCGGATCGTCCTATGTCCTATCTCAAGTAACAGATAAAAGATCACCCGGCTTTCTTTCTCGGCCGAGTTGCTCATCCTGCAGATAATTGCCTGAGATACTCCTCTCGAGGATAAATTTTCAGTTCTTCGTCGAAGGCGACGATTCTTGCAGCTCTCGGTATCGCCTCTCTCCTCCAAGAAGTGATCTTCTTGCAAAAATTGTCGGGGATGCGAAGCTGACATCGGATCGTCATCGGATGGAACGGACGATCGACAGATCTCGTTTCTGCGCGTAACGACGAGCCTCTTCCTCTCACCACCTTCCGTCCGTCGTATTCCTTCTTCCTCGTCCTCTTTTATTTTTTTTGCGGAATTTATCGGCCCGCTTATCGACGCTCGGATCCGACGAATCTCGCTCAAATGGGTCGCCAATGTGAACCGCACATCAAGCTCTCGGAAGTCTTCCCCTTCTTCTCGCGTAGCAAAATAATTCTCTTCTTTCTCTCTGCTCGTTTTCGAGGGCGTCCGCCCTCTCCCGCCCTACGCGTTTTTTCATTTGCTTATTTACAATTATTTAAATGTATCTCGTCGTCTATATTACTATCTTCATCATTGTCGACCGACGCGATCTCCCTCCTCCTTGTAAACAATTAAATTCTTAATCGCGACATATATATATATAATATATAATGCCTATTAACGCTCCAGTCAGAATCTTAAGTATTAGCTTTTTGTTTTTCTGTTACTACATAATAGATTACGGTCGTTATCATCTATGCCTTATTTACTCTAGAAACCTCGACGGTCAATTGCATCTCGTCGTGCCCGTGACAGTGGCTGTCAGAGGGGCACGGAGGGAGGAAAAATCGTCGACATTGTTATCATCCTCAACGTTGTTATCATCATCACAGAGATCGCGACTCGATATTCTTACAACTATTATTAACGTCCCCTATTAGATTCGCAGTTCTTTAACTATCTCTCTCTCATTCATTCCCTTTCTCTCTCTTTTTCTCTCTCTCTCACACGCATTCTCGACAACACGGAACCAGTACCGTTGCCTATTCCTCACAATCTACTTATTGTATTCATGAAAAAGAAAATGTCGCCTCGCGATACTTTTGTCAATTGCGATAGGTAGTATTATAACAATCTTAATCGTTAACAACGCTGTTCTGCGAAATCGCATGCCTGGATTGTCGTCGTTGACATCAACTTCAACCCTTAAAATTTTTGCGAATACAAAATGAACGCAATCGCACGCACACGAGTCGTTTGTCCCGAGAGAGCGATCGATTCTCTTAGAAGTAAAAACACGTGTCATGTCTCAATTTGTTCCCGCGTCTTATTTATATTTATATACAGTTTATCGAGTTTTTATCGCACTCGTGTGTTCAAGAGAAACGACTCGCGTTGATACTACACAGTACACGCATTATCTTTTCCTCTTTCTCTCTCTCTTTCGTTCTCGCGATAACGTATCTACATCACTGTCCCATTAAAGCAGACCAGAGTTTTGAGAAACAATGCTCGGTACAAAGTGCAAATTTATGGACAAACGCAGAAGAAAAATCGGGTGCAAGGAAACGGGGGAAAAAATACGCGCGCAGAAAAATCTGATCTCTTCGCCTCGTCGCAAAATTCCGCGAAACGTCGCCATGGTGTTGTCGGTTTAATTTTGAGAAATCGCGTTCGTATCTCTAATGCTCCTCATTTAGCGCCGTACACGTTCTGAGAATCTTGGCGTTTGTCAAGATCAAGAAACGTACGAATACAGTGCTAAACGGTCAAAAGAAACGCTGTACGTTTTCTGTTTTACGTTTTTTTTTTGTAATGTACATTTTTAAAATATATTTATCGTACTTTTTTTACAGATTTATGTACGATAAATATGAACGTTTAATCAACGTTGTTTTATGGATGTTATATAAATATAAAATCTGTAAATAAATATAAATATATATCTCCATCCATAAATGTAAATAAATATAAATTTTGTATAAAATTTTGTTTTCTCGCAATATGAATCATTTTTCGTCGACGGCAATAGCCTTTTAGGATAATATCAATAAACGATCGGTCAACCTTCAGCAAGTAATAAATGACATAAATGACAAAGAAAAAATCTTTAGTCAATTGTAATATCTCCTTAAAAAAATTAAGGACTTGCCGTAGATTGTGACAGTCAGTTCGAATCTTTAAAGCTCTTTTAAAGTTATACGATTTGAAATGTACATATTCGCATCTGTATTGTTTAATTCTGAATGATTCGATCAATGTTCTTCGTTTACCGATTACAATAATTTCTCTGATCAACGAAAAACATTAATGAACGATTCTTTCTTTTTGATAATTCGAGACAATGCTTCCCTACCGACGATTCGCGATTAATTTGTCGCTGCGAAATCTTCCTCTCTCGACGATCGGATTCCACACACGCAGAAAATATCTCTCCCCCCTCTCCCTGCGCCAAGAAATTATAAGGGGAACGTCTTACGCGATTATTTACCAAATAGGGAAAGTTGCTTTCACACGCGCGCTACCGTTTTGCTCGCGCGCTACTTGCGACGACGATCGAACCGACGTTCCGCATCACGGACCTGCTCGCGTGCGAAAACAATTCTGATCCAGAGCGACACGTTTTTTTTTCCGGCGATCCGCCGAACGGTTCCACGTGCCACTTTCCCAATCGCCGCGCCGATCACCGTCTGCGTTTACGTATCAGTCACGAGTTTCCATAAAGCTGGAGTTCTCTGCTCCTCGTCTCATCAAGAGATAAACAAAGGCCGATACGAGCCAAACGCACATGGTGATGCGCGAAGAATTATATTTGACAATACACGCACGTGTTGCGCCTTGTTTATAAACAATGAGTATCAATAATCGATTAAAAGATCGACGGATCGGCAGAGAAAACGTGCCCTTGGAAGAGGAAGCTCTTTTGCACACATACCCATACGTAACACACATACTCACGCACACACATTCTCGTCCTCCGTACGCATGTATATATATTTCTATATATATATTTTTGTATTCCTTTTCACTCTCATTCTTTTCGCACTCGCTTATTTTGGCACGCACGCATTCTACCGCACTCACACACTCACACTTTCATTATCCGGAAATATACTAAACTATATATATGTGTATGTATATATATATATCAAGGTACATGGTCTCGATTCGCTCAAATAGTCAATGCGTTCTCTCGCCGCGCGAACGATTCTTCTCGCTTCCGACGGCGCGTTCGCCACGGTGCGAGCGACGGGGAGCATCGTCCACGTTTTCGAGGAGACCGCTAAGATCTCCCTCTCTCGCGAGGAATAAAATGAAATCCTCCCCCCGACGGTGCCCCTCGCACTGTCGCGTCGCGCAGCCGCGTTTTTACCGCGTTTCACACACGGCGGCGGGAGGAAGGATAAAAAAAAGAATATACATGTATATATATATATATATTGTCACGTCGACGGGGGTCGATTCCCCCGTCGAACTCCCCGGGGGGTTCGCGGAGGACGCGCGCGAAACGCTCTGGCAAGCCGCGAACAACCTCCTCCCTCCCGCCACGAACGTGTCGATGAACGCGTGTCTCCGCTTAAAAAAACGAACTCTATCTAGCCCCTCGAGATGTCTTTTTTTAATTAATTGAACGACTTCAAAATTCACCGGCTTTGACGCACCGGGCGCGCGTAAACGGTCGGCGCTTACGCGGACCCTGAGGAATCGGTGTCCGCGAGGTGAAAAGCTCTTTCGCGGTACGATTGAGATCGAAGTTCGTGCCTCGAATTATGCTTTCCTTTTCTCCGTAACAACGAAGCTTAAAAACTAATTTAAAACAAAAAAAGAAGGAAAAGGAGACTTTAACGTCGGGCAAGACGAGTGAGCGATGCGAAAAAGAGGCACGGGGCGCGTAAATTTACGAACGGCAAGAATTTTCGGAGAATAAAAAGATCGAAGGAATGTACAATGCTGTCGTCATTACCGAGGAGTGAATTGATAATAATCGATCGAGTAAAAATCGCGGAGAAAAAGGAAAATCGAGAATTTTGCGCCATTATTCGCCCCTCTTTTTTTTCTTTGAAGAAGCTGCGGATCGTTCGTAACGTTGGACCATGAGTACTTCGGTATGTATAAACCATGCTCTCTTTCGCTCTCTTTCTTTTCCCCTCTCTTTTTTCTCCTCTTCTCCTTCGTTTCTCGCTTTGTCAAACCTCTCAACTTAAACCTAAATTTAAGGCTTATTTAATTAATCGACACAGTGTTTTCGTGTGGCTGCGTGTTTGTGTCCCCTGTGCTCGGTATGATAAGACGTGAGCGTGTACGCGAGTCTTGTACAATGACGGAAGGGTCGGTTTCCGAGGTCCCTCGCGAATCGCCCCATTTGGGATTCTCCCTCCTCGGCGAACGGGGAAGCGGAGAACCCCCGAGGGCACGCGATCGCGAGACACCGCGGTAATTCCGATTCGGAACACGTTGGTTTCGTTCACGATGAGCTTCAATATCTCCGCTTTTGCTCGAGTAGCCCGCGTCTCTCCGACGACGGAGATTCGCCAAGTTTTTCAAAGTTACCTTCCGATTCTCGATTTCTGCGCGCAGAGACCTTTCGATGATAAAACGTGAATGGACTCGGTATCGTTGCGACGAACGATCTGTTCGTTCTACTTTTCGTAAAAAAAAATTCTTTCAAAACAAGTTAAAGTCCTGATTAAAAAGAAAAAAAGGTAGTTTCACGTTACGCGATACTAACTGTCCTCGTGTCTGCAAAAGTCATCCTTAAGAAGCGTACATTAAACGTAGATAAAAGATATATCTAAAAAAAAAATGATTTACTCATCCCTGCGAGAAAGTTATCATTTGCTAAAAAGCTGTATATGAGCGTTCGACTCTAATCCATTCGCGTAGGGTCATCGAGAGCTAGCCCGTTCATCCCAAACACCTCGGTGTTTGCTCGAAGAGGAAAACGGGGTTTCCTCAGAAGGTTCCCCCGAGAAGGAGCCATAAATTTAAAGTTAAAACGATCAACTCCGCAATCGATGGATTCCTCGTGAAAGTTCCAAAGCGATTCCCTTTGTCAGAACTGCATACTTTTGTAGGAAGTATTTGTACGAAGTTTTGGAGGGTCCGTAAGAAGAGCACCGTGAAATTTTCCAGCAGCGTTTCCTCCCCCTACTATCACCTACTACCGCTTTGCTCCACCGTGATCGAGAAAGCATAAACGAAATGTTACTTAATTCTTTAATGGCACCCCAATAGAGTACGAGCGAGAGATAAGATGCGGCTATAATCCAAGCCCAACCAAGAATTGGTAATTCTTTCAAAGTGTGAAAGCAGCGAAGATATATAGCGAAAGAATATATGCACACACACATGCATAGCTATTTCTATTTATATCACGTGTACGCTTGAACGGCGATAGTGCTGCGATTTGGATTTATCCGCGAAATAAAATGAAAAGTTCTCTCAGATGATAAAATTCTCAGGTCCGTTATTGGTCCCTGAAAGTAATGCAAGAGCCAAGTTCCCGGGGCAGTCTCCCACAGCGCCTGATGTGGCCACCATGAGGATTTTAGTGGGTATGCTACGCACGTAATATCTTTCGCGATGCACATGCATAGAATCCCACATTACCCTTGGCACTGTAGCCAGCAGTCGAGAGTGTCTTTTTAAAGACTTCTCCCATGTAAAAAAAAAAGTCTGTTATTGGTGATAATAATTTCGCGTCTTCGCCGAAAGGAATAATTTATCGAGAAAACGTGACTAGGCAGATATGTGCTCAAATAAAATGTACCGAATCGTTTGAGACGGAATCCGATCCTTGTAAAATAAGATTTCTCAGTTTGTCGTCGTTATATATATTGCCACGAAAAATATTGCGAGCTTGTCGGGAATTAATAATGAAGCGATTAAGCACGGATCTCTTTGCGCCTCGGGTCTCGCTCGAAAGGTCCGTGACGGCAACTACAGAAATGTTGCCGAATCACGATGGAACGTCCGGACCACATGATCGACCACCTCGTCGATTCCCGTTCGAAACTCGTTCGCGACAAGCGTAGCGCGAACGCGACCGCGAAACTCGTGTGAAGACGCGACTCTATACCCGCTCACCCTCGCGATATCGTCTCGCCTGCCGCCCTTAATTAAGCCCGAGCCTATTTGCGATTTTGTACGTTACAATATCACAATTGAATGTTGACCGATAATGGGTCGTCCCGCGTCTGCCGGTCAGCCTCCTCGTCACGAGAGAAAATCTAACCCGGAACTTTCTTCAGGGATATCACACGCACGATGATCCGCGTCGATCGTTTTTCCCCCCCAGACTTTTTTCCTTGCTTTTCTCACGGAAACAAAACTGGTCCAACGTGGCTCCGGCAATGACGCGTGTACATAGACCAAGCATTCTACTCGCGGAGCGAAGCCGGATGTTGGCAGTTTAAGACAGAGCGAGATAGTTGATTCGCCCTTAGTACTTTCTCATTTTCTAATGACGACTCTATGACGACTCTTGACAGTCGATCCAAGCTAGAGTGAGAAAGCACCAGGGGCAAATCAACCATCTCCGTCTTGAACTGCCAACTTCCGGCTTCACTCCCTCCATCGCAAAAGCATAGGAATACTTGGTCTATGTATACACGTCATTTGGCTCCGGAGTGACCACGTCGAGACGCTTGAACATCTAAAACGCGCTTACTGAGGATGGCCAATCGCTCGTTCGGAAATGAAGCGCTGAGACTGCAGAGCGGATCGAGTCTAGTTTCGAAAAATTTTGAAATCAAGTATCCAGAGAGCTTGCTTAGGTATTCGATATCGGGCGCTTTTCCTAAATTTTGATTTATCCAAATGGACCACGAATCCGGAAAAAGTCTTCCGCGTTCCGACACACGTCAGTCGCGCTCAGCTCTCTCCATTACGACGCCACTTGAAAATTCGTTTCGCAATCTCGGCAATCTCGTTCCTCGGAACGAGCCTCGTGGCGACCTGGTCTGTCCTCAGCGCTTCAAATCGATCCGCGTCCTTCCGGGACGACCCAGCCGCGCGTCGTTTACAATTACAGACTACGAGCTATCATTATCAGCTATATCTGTATGTGTGCATGTGTGTATAGTCACGACACGACGGGTCGTGTTTTAAAGCCGTAAGATGGAAACGCTCGGGTCATTATCTCCCTCCCTCCCCCCTTCTGATGTCTTTCTGCCTTTCCTCTCGCGCTCGTCATTCGGTCCTCGAATATCACCGAGCGCGTTTACCGGTTTATATCGAACCGTCAAAAATTAATCACGTTTATTAATATTAAAGCATGAAGAATACGGATATCGTATCACCGTTTCTCTCTCGTGGAAGAGAGGGAGAGCGAGAGAAAGAGAGAAGATGCGAAAACGCGTTTCTTCCCTCCCCTCTCTCACTCTCTCTTTCCCCTTTGCTTATCTATCGCGATGTTTCTCTCTCTTATCCAACTAATAACGCCATTACTTATCGTACCTAAACTCTACTTTGCGGTTTTTTCTCTATCGGTTTTTTTTTTAAATCTTATATAATGTATATATAATATATGCGCGCGTACGCGTGTGGGTATACATAATATATGTATGTATATAGATATATGTATTTTATATCGATTAATCAGTTATCAATTAAAAGTTAATAGTATCTATTGAGTCATCATCACAGCTAATTTCCCGACTCTTCTTTTCGTTAAACAATTGATTCTGTCATTCGTGGCTTCTCTTCTCCACCTCTCCTCCTCTCCGTCGTTCGTCTTACGCGTATAATCCTTCCTTTTTCGCCGGTTGTACGTTCGCGCCGTAAAAAGATCCGCGAGGGAAAAATCGAGCCTGGCGCTGGCGCCCATCGCCGTCCTCCGAAAATTCCGATTACACGTGGCCCGCCCTCAACACGAACGTTCGAGTCTTCTAGCCACGCGCTCCTGGAATCTCGGGGAATAGGACGAGAACGCGTCCCTGTTTGTACTCCCGATTTACGGGAAGACTTTTTCCCTTAACAATCGAAGCTACAATTTTCGTTTACGCAGCTGATAATTTACACATTGGTTGTTCCGGGATCGCGTGGCTGATCGGCGCGCGCGTCTTCGCGACAACGGATACGCACGTTTTCACTTGCCCCCCACATATCGCGCATTTCTGTCTCCCTTTCTCTCACCGGACGGCAGTGTTGAATTCGTTTCCTTCTCGCTCCAAGGATCTACCGCGAGCTCTGCGACCGTGACGATTTATCCGGCCCTGAACCCGCACACCGAGATAGAAAGTCTTCGCCTTTAATCGCGCGTCGACTCGGCTGCTCGGTGACCAATTCGAAGGCTCTTGAACAAGATCGCGATGCCTCAAGACGTCTCTCTAGCCGGCTCTACAATTCGCCGCGAGAACCGCGTGCGGGAAGCGACAATGAAAAATCACCTACGAAAAGCAACAATTAACATATAAAAAAGATAAATTAAATATTTTCAAAAAAAAATAAAAAAAATAACGGCACGAATTTATCGATATACGGCGTTTAAAATAATGCGGTACAGACGGTTCTATGTCACAAGGAGCTGATTTGTTTGTCGCAAATCGAATCGGGAGCTGTGCGAATAAGTGGATACGTAGCTGATCCAAGAATTTACCTATTGAATTAACAAGCTGCCGGCTTGACAGCTTCGATAAAATACGGTCCGTCAAATTGTTTAATTCAGAATTGTGTAGTATGTACACATGTTTCATTATTTGAAGTGTTTTGGGCTCCTGTTCAATTCAGAGTGAGATTGCGTATTACTATTCTTATATACTTATACACAAGTATTATCATTTGAAGTAGAATTCGGACTCTCGTGTGATGCCACTCCGAAACCGCCTCCCTCAAAGATCCGCGTTTGAGCAGGAATGTCTCAACCTGTATTTGACGGTTTTCAAGAGGCGGTTTCGGGATACACGCGCAAGTTCGTCAACAACACGTGGAGAGATACTGGAGCAATATCTTGGGGGCCCCCCCAAGATATTAGTCGGTATCGTCCCGCGTGTTGTTGCCCAACCCGCGGAAGAATAAGAAACGAGAATCGTTAAGTAAAAAAGGAAACAGGCGATGTGATTGCAAAATGATTGCAAACTCACCGATACTCTGCGATTTAAAGCGTTTCAGCTCCTTGTACCGTCGCGTAAAATTAAATTCCGTCGCGATCGTCTCGTTCTCCCTTCATCGATTCTCGTGGTGTTCAAGACACGGATTTCGCCGTCGCCGTTCGCGACGACGACGGCGAATTAAATTTCGAACGCAAAAGTGCATGTATCGATCGTATTAAAAAAACAAACAAACAAAACGAAAAAAAGAAAAAAAAAACAAATCTCTGGGCCTGTGATGATTCGTAATTCGTGCGCATTCGTGAAAACGAGTTGCCAAACTCTCTCCTTCGAGCGTGCTTATCCCGAGATTATCGATCTCCTCTCTCTCTCTCTCTCTCTCTCTCTCTCTTGGAGCCCGGTCGCGCACGACGCGCCGAGGATGAAAAAAAAAGGAAAGGGAACGTGTGTCCGTTCTCGCGCACGTTCGAGAGTTTACATCCGACAAGCACTCGCGTTTGCCTCTGTCCGCGTGTATAAGAAACGGTATTTTCCTTCGATAATTTTCGACGTCGTAGATCAAACGTACGTGTGCGTGTGTGTTAGCTGCTATAATAGATACCGTTCGCGTATTTCATCTTACAAAACTATAGATACGGAGCGAGGAATCGAAGAAAAAAAAATCGAAATCACGCGTTTTGATATCGGTCTCTCGTGTCTCAATTTTGTCATTTTACTTTCCTACTCTCATTCGCGCGTTCCACAATCACACCCGTTTCGCAAACTCGGTTCTTACCTAAAGACTAATCGCCTACCGAAGAAAGCAATTGACGTAAGAGGAGAAAAGTGGACATAGACAGTTGCAAAAAAATCATTTGCAAGTTATCAAGAAACTTATAAAAGAAAAAAAATTAAACATTAATTAAAACACTACGTCAAAGAATTTTGTTCAGTCTGTGGCTTGAAATAATTTTGCTTAGAAGAAAAAAAAATAAACAAAGAAATATTTAACACACAAGAATTTTAAAGCTTTGAAAATCTAAATCTAAATCCGACGAAACCACACTTGTCGATTTGATTGTGCAATGTCAAATCGATCGTATTCTCCACGCTATCGTATCGTTAAGGCCTTAACTTATTACCACTATTGTTATTTATTTACCCTTAAATATTATTGTTATCGTTACTATATTATATATTAAGTCCATTTACTGTGTCCGGTATATAGTTTAGAAGTGGTGCGAGTTTGATATGACAATTGCGCCCGTAAAGCATTGTAAACCAACGAAAAAAAGTTCCGACCGCCCCCTCCTTTCTGTCCGGCACAAAGAAAAGAAACTCCAGAAACTCGCACGAAGGACAACTCCTCTTCAAGGACGGGTCGAGTTAACGTCCGTTATCGTTAACTGTTGTTCCTGCTTTTAATCTATCTTACGAATCTCGGTCCTCCCCCCATCAGGGACGCGACCGCCCTTTAAATGTCGCTATCAATGTCCCTATCTTCTCTGTTACGGCCACGATTGCGCCCTAAGAAGGGACAGACAATCGCCAATCCGACGTTAATTAATCAGGACAATCGCGACGCTAATACTCTCTTCCCTCTTAAAAATCTTCGTCCTCGATATCCGCGTCTAAATAAAGCATTAGAATACATTAGTACGTGAATTTTTCAAATGTAACAACAGTCATTGTGATGATCAATAAACATAGATTTGAAATTGTTTATAAATCGAGATTATAAATAAGAGAGAGAGACGCGTTTGCGACAATTCCGTTTGCAACGGACGAACCAGCCAAATCTTCTCTCCCTGTCTCCATATCTCTCTGTCTCTATTTTTTTGCCCCCCTATCGTAAAAATAAATCTTAAATTTACATGCAATTTCATTAATGATTTTGTTGATGAAACATCGCCGAAAATCGAGAGCGCGAGAAGCGTGATCGAAATGTGAATTCTCCCGCAACGTCATGATAACCGTCATAACGTATCCGCAAAGCGTATCCATTCGATCACCTCCCCTCTCCATTCAGATTTCTCCCGATCCCCCTCCTACCTCTTTGTTATGTCAATCACGTTTAATTAACCCACTCGCGTAACACGCACTGAGAAACTAAAAAAAAAAAAAAAAACTTACACCTTATACACTTATCTCACGTAAAGAGTAACGGATAGCAGTGAGTAGCGGAATAGCAAGAAAATAAAAATATCTCCAACACAAAATGAAAAAGAAAAAGAAAAGTAAACGGAAATTAAAAAAAAAAAGCTGCATGAAATAAATCTCCTATACGAAGCCGTGTCCCTTTACGATCCGTAATACCAAAAAAATGATAGAGTCCGCGAGAGAAACTGTTAATAAAGAAGTATACAGATAACGATCATTAGTCGGGCGGCTATTAAGCAAAATTGTTTGTCCAGCATATCTGTAGCAACGGATCGGGAGATTGCGTACGCCGTTTGTGTCAAATTAGAGCACGAGGGGATAATAAAAATGCGCGTTAGAAACACCGGCTGTCTCGAGAACGGCGTGAAGCGCGTGTGCTTCCAAAAATCGCTTTGGAAAGAGCGGTCGCGAAAAATCGTCGGACGTTGTTTCTTTTTGTTTTTCAACGCGTCGATATTGAAGTCCATCGTTTGACAAAATCGCGAAGCGCATCTTCGCTTCGTTCTCGCGCTTGTCGTCTCGTCAGACTGAGGATGTTACTCTCTCTCTTTGTGTTTTCAGATGTTATACAGATAATATATATATATGTATGTACGTGGGGCTCTCCTTTGTGTTCCTTTTGTAAGTTTAGCGGTATACGATAATCTAAAATACAGTATTACTTACATTTTGTCACAATGGCGCGTGATGGGAGTTCCAGAACGCATATATATACATATATAATGTATCTCTCGCGTGCACACACATTGATCGCGGCATCGGGACGCACCGATGCACCGTGTCGTCACCCCCCTCCCCCCCCCCTCGCGATGCATAGTCTTATATAAGGTTTCAAGTTTGTATGCTGGATGTATCTTAGCGTAAAGAACGGATTACGGGATATCCACTCGCGCGATAAAATCGAAAACCCGTGTGTATATGGACCGCACACGGTGTCACCATCATCGTCATCATTATAATCTTCACATTCATCCTCATCATCGTCGCTATCATCGTCCCTCTTATTCTCGCAGTCCTCACGGCCGATGATTCTTACCGACGATGATTCCCTACCGTACCTGATTCTCTAGGAGCCACTGACGGCCGCCACCTCTCACCTCGCGCGTTGCTGATGTATACGTTGGTCTTTGGGTATCAAGCCTGAACGTTCAGCACTATGCGCAGCTGCCTCGTAAATTCGCTCGCGCTGTCCAACTGGCGGCAGCCATTCACCAATCTGCTCGTCCAACGACTCGGCGGTTTAGGCACGCTCGCAGGCGACGGCGTTTCCGAGAACTTGGCGCCCGCGTAGAAGTTGTTGGTCGGGCTGCTGCTCGGACTGTGCTGCTCGCAATGCTGCTGCTGCTGTTGTGGTAGTGGTGATGATTGCTGCTGCTGTTGCTGTTGCTCTTGTTGTTGTTGTTGTTGTGGTGGTTGCTGCTGCTGTAGCTGTTGTGGCGAGCTTCTCGCGCTCTTGGCCGACGGGCTGTATGGGCTGGCGCTTTGCCGGCCGTCTTTAGCGTTTCTGACCGCGTGGCGACCGTTCTTGTATAAGAACGGCGATGATTTACTGTTGGAACGATTATGGTGGTGGTTGTGCTGATACCCGACCTTCGGCGAGGCCTGTCGGTCCACCTTGGCGTTGTCTAACTTGGGCGCGGAGTTCGTCATGGCTCGGATGTTTGTCTATCTATCTCTCCTCTGTTTCGGTTCACTACACCTCCACGTCACTCAGCCAACTCGTCGGCCTGCAATACAAAGCAGTCCCTCAAATTCGTATATATATTCCCAATATTTACTTCTCTCTTTCCATGTTGACACCTCCACCATATCTCTAAAATTGATTTGCATCTACATTGTTATTTTTTTCTCGCTATAAAAGAGGAAACGCTACTCTCTTTGTTTCAAAACGAGGACTATTGACATTCTGGTACACTTAAAGTTGATAAAACTATAAAAATTGTATATCTCTCTTCTCTTCCTGCTATAAAATCATTTATTTAATCAATCTTTTCTTAGCAAAAATGCCGAGAAAGTTGATCGTTTATTGCAACTTTCCAATTCCTTGTGCATCATAATTACAAAAAACACATTTTACATAAAAAATCGATCAAGCGTCACATTCAATGCCGTGAATATAATATATTTACAATATTTTTTATATATTTTTTTAAATGAAAACTGAAAATTGATCGGTCAATTCATCAATAGTGGAAAATGTTAAAACTATAAATAGAAAGCAGATCTTGTCGGAATTTATTATAAATTAAAAACATAAGCTCATTAACATAACTGGTGCAGTTATATTATACCGCTCGCCTCTTGCGTCGCGCTAAATGAAATTTTTCGTTATGTCGCGCAACATGGTCTGCAGAATGTAGCGTAAAAGAACTATTGAACTTGCAATACGTATGTTTACATAACAAACTTCCTTTATAGCCTGTGCATTTTCTTTAATTTTATCGAGAAAAAAATTCCGGATGCTTTATTAAATGTAAGATATAATTTATGCTAATATTTTCTCCTTATATTGCGTCATAATAATTTGTAATATCCGTCGCATGATAGAACTTTAGCATGATTAAAGGCATGCATTTGCGACATCTAAAAACAGATTCTGGTTACAACACAAATCTTCATAGATCAACGAGTAGATGCTCAATAAAAGTCAACTGCATACTTTCTATCATACTTTCACCGTCAAATACCTTTTCCCGGAGAACAAAATTACGACAAATAATAATTAAAAAAAAAATTACTGTTCTGATCATTGAGAACCAAAGGAAATAAAGTAACATTGTGTACATCCTTTCTGAAAAGACTGAAAAATAGAAACGAAATATTTGTCAAAAGAAAGAGGGATCTATAAGAATTTGTGACGTCTTGTTCCTTTGAGAGAGGCATCAGTGTAATTCTTCTCTTCTTCCATTTTATAAAGCATTTTTTTTTTTACGTTTACTTACAACGAAAAAAGCTCAAGGCCCTATACACAATGAAAATCACAGGCAACAGGAACAGAATTTCCGACGCACCGAATTCCTATTCTCCATTGCCGGTACCTGACCAGTCAGTCACACACAGTGATTTGATTTCGAAGCCTTGAACACAATACAAAGGTACAGGCAATAAAAACAGGGAATAAGCCGGACAACGGAAATAACTCCATTTCAACTTGTAATAAAACTATTTGTTTCAATGTGCATAGGGCTGAAAGATTTATGTTTAACAAACGACAAGAAATAACCCAAAAGATATGCATCAATTAACTTTCTCGAAATTTCAAAACCTCAACGTTCGAGCAGCTGTCCAAAGTTAAACGTAAAAAAGAAATATTTATTAAACATAACAGAGTATTTATAACTTCTCGCAAATAATATCCTTGTTCCTCGTCTTTGTTTTTTCACAATCGACTCGTGACTCAATCCTCGAAGGCTCTTTGTCTTTCCGAACGCCGCGCGTCCCGGCGCGGGACGAGCGTTCTTCCGCACGGGAAATAAACGGGCGATAAACGCGGCGCGTTCACGGACCGATATCGATGCGGAAAGCTGAAAAAAATAAGGAGCATAAGGAGCAAAAAAGGGGTCCTACCGGTGAACGTTGGCTGGTTCGCCTCTCGGGGGGACGGCGTCCCGCGTCCCTGCTCAGCAATTTTTCCAACTGCGCAATAATCACGGTATCCAGGGCAGAGCGGTGGTGGGGACGACGACGGTGACGACGCGGTGGGATAAGTGCGGCGGGGCGCCCCCGGGTGCTGTTAGCGCGATGCTACCTCGCCTCGTGTTCCTCTTCTCTCACGGTCCTCCCAGTACGCGTACCTCGCAAATTCGACCACATCCGATGACCGTTAGCCACCTTTAGCTCAATATATTTCCTCTCCTACCCTCTCGCGTGGCCCGCTCTCACGCCGCCGATTACGGAAAAGCGGCGCACATACGTTCCCCGCCCGCTCCCCGGCGCGACAATAACGCTCCACTCTCTGTCCAAGATGGCGGACCACGGAGCCGTTGCGTTTGTTTGCCTTCTTCCGCGGCCGTAGCTTCCACCACGACCGGCTACGACGCTACCGAAACGAACCGGATCGGATGGCTCCTGGCCAAATTCACCTCGCGGTTGCGTTTTTGCGTTTCCGCACGCCTCCTCGTCGAAAAAATTCCAAGGGGGCCAATCCTCTCGGGGCCCGGGGGGGGGGGAAAGGTCCGTCTGACGTGTTACGCGCGCACGCACCGTATTATGCTCCGCGCTTCGGCCGTCGGCGTGCCCTCGTTACTTTTCTCCCTTCCTCGTAGGCGTCCTCGTCCTCCGTTGCGCCTCCAAAAATCCAGTCTGGTCGAATCGCAAACAACGATCTCACTCCGCAGTTAAAAAGTTCAGGCCGACCAGGCTCGTGTTGTCCCCCACATCTCTACGACACTCCTCGAACACTGATTGGGGCATTCCGCCTGCGCTTTTATAGGTCCGACGCCGTCCCCTTCTTCACTTGTGGAAACTTGCCACAGTTGTCGCTGACCGCTACCCCCTCCATCGTGCCAACCGCGCGCGCGTCGTTTCTCCCCCCGTTCCCGACGCGAGTCCACGTCCGCATAACTTCGTGAAATTTCGTGCGTTTTCGCGTTCCGATACGTTTCCTAAACCGTGATTGGTTGGATCCGAAGGTAAGAACCAATCATCGAGTGAGTATTCCTATTTATATATTTTTAGTGTTTTCAGTCGTAAAGTCGTGAGTCGCAAGTTGACCAATCACAGTCGATTATTCTCCTCAAATTCGACTGTGATTGGTCAATTCTTGCGATTCACGACTTTGCGACTAGCATTGTAGACCGTAAAAAAATAAACCAGTCACAGTCGATTATTCTCTTCGCGCTCGAAGAATAATCGAGTGTGATTGGTCTATTTTCTTACGGCCTTATGCTAGGTCTACAATGCGAGTCGTAAAGTCGTGAGTCGTAAGTATTGACCAATCACAGTCGATTATTCTCCTCAAATTCGACTATGATTGGTCAATTCTTGCGACTCACGACTTTGCGACTCGCATTGTAGACCCAGCATGACGATTACGAATAAAAACTTTGTTACGTGCAATGGCCTTAATTATTGAGCAAATACAGTCAAATTAGCGCCGTCCTTTAGCGTATGTACATATATGTATGTATGTATGTACATACATATGTACATACATACGTCTTGTTGCGTTTTTTGTTGCCAAAAATTCTCGTTATTTTCAACATGGCGCAGCCAATCAAATTATCCCACTTCCAGCAGGCGCGCACGCTCCCCCGCAATCCATAGCTTCTTACTTCTTTCTTCTCCTCTGTCCTATCCTGTTTTGCTCGCAAAGTCGCAAGCCGAACAAAGCCGAACTGCCGAAACAATCCGAAAATTCCGAAACGTAAATGAGCCAATGGCGCCCACCCAAGTTTCCGACGATAAGATAGGGGTTCACTCGGTCTGTTGAGAAAACGGAAAGTTCATCGTACGTTCTGAAATTGG